GCGATGTAAGCTTTATAGGGGAGTCGATGGTGTCCGTCTGTCCGTAAAACGCTTGGACCGATTTGGTTCAAACTTTGCACAGGTGACCTATATGCCACATGTAATAAGCCTATTGAAAATGGGTCAAATCCAATGACCCCGTGGGGTCACGCTTCTCTGTTCCTGTTTTTAGATGCTCTTTAGGGGTTTAATATATTTCGGTTAGTTTTTATGTTTGTTACTTCAGTATGTTTATTTCTCTTTCTCCTCCCCCTTTACCCCTCTACGTACACAGCATACTATCGGCAATACTTAGTCATAAAGGTAATAGACACCGACGAAAACACTAGAACCAAGAACAATTTTTAGCGATTTTCTCCCCTCGGAAGGTTTACTTTTTCTGCATAAACATCTATGTATCTCCTAAAGGATTACAGGTAGAAAAAAACTTGTTATACCTACGTTTTTTGTAGGAAATTTGATGATCTTTACTTTTGTATATACAGGTGGTTATGAAAAAGTTGATAGTTTTCGAGATATTGAGGAAAAACCAAAGAAAGTGACATAAAATCCAAAATGGTAGCCTGTTGCGCACCTCCCACATAAGGAGTTTTCGAATATGTTCAAGAGGAAGGCCCAAAGACATTTTTGGTCAAATTTCCAAACTATATAAATTTCTTTATTTTTATTTAACTTGACTGGGCTCTATCTGATTTGCATTTAACTAACTTGAACTAACTTGATGTTTCAGTTTATTAATGTTTATTGTTGTTGGTTTTAATCTGCACAGGAATAAGTGAGTTGGATACAAGTGCGAATTACAGCAGTTTAATTACTAGGGTAATTTCTAAATGTGAGTTTAAGATCAAGCGAGAAGGACAAGTGTTATTGCCGGAATAAAATAAACACTTTCTTAGTTTCGGTCTTTTACGAGTCCAGTTTCTCATTTAAGAGACTGGCAATTACAGTTGATGATTCCGTGATTCACACAACTTTTTATTAGGTTCGGTCGTAATTAAACATATTATATTAGATTGCCCTCCTCGACTCGATTTTATGTGTTGCGAGCTTAGGGTTTTTATAGAGAACCGTAAAAGATGATAAATATAATTAAATTACTTTTTGATTTCGCTTGGCGAGCGTTTGTTGTTTGTTACGTGGTGTTAATGGAGTTGTTTTTCTTTTCAAATTTATCAATTTTACTTAGTTTACCGTACGTCGAAATGAATGCGCGGAATGTATTTGTCGAATTTGGGTTAAAATACTGAGGGTCAAGTGTAATAATAAATTATTGCAGGAAACAAAGCGCATATTCGTAATTGTTAATTGTGCGGTTATACGTTACCGTTTTATGCCAAAAATGTGTAGGTCCATGCGCGCTTGTTGTCACCTTAATTACCGATTGTGAAACAACAAAAGCTTTAATAACCGCATACCGACCCGACCACGAATTGTTGCGACAAAAGATATGGATAAATATTCGCATATTGCGGCTTTGATCGATTCGCCCTATACGCTTTCCAATTTTGAAATACTTCCACCGCGCGTCCAGGCGAATTCCGCAAGTGTCAACAAACGTATTTAAGTGAAAAAATTATTTACGCCCGGCGATCCTTAAGCGCATTAAACGGCAGACAGATGGACAGACCGCATTTCAAATAGTGACAACCTGTAATTAGGGTTTAAGCATTAGGAGTCAAGATCTGCAGTAGGCGGCTCGCGTTTCCAAAAAACTGGCCGCCTACGAGGGACCCTTGGAAAGTTTACGCAGAGCCGCATTACACACGCGGGCGTAGGCGTAACGCCGCGAAAGATTAATGAAAAAATTGCATGCAGAAATACGTTAAAATATGTAAATGGAGGCTCGCTTTTCCAAACTGGAAACCGCTCAATAAGCATACGCGCACGAATTTAAGAAACACAAACTTGTATCTGTCAGAGCAAGGAAGATACGTTAAGCCGATTCGGTCGGACTGTTAAAATCTCATCTCCTCTTTTCTTTATTTCATTTTATTTAATTTCTCGTTTTTATTTATTAAGGGTTATAGATTATCCGCCGACGTTTGTTTTAACGATCAGGTTTAATTATTATTGGACCTCAGTTTTACAGTTTCGTTTTACTACCACATATTCGGTGTCATCGTTTTATTTTATCCCTCTTATTTATTGTGCCATAAATGACCGGTAAATCGGAAAATATTTGAAAATTTCACCGCCCTCTTGACGCGTTCGTGTACTAATCAAGCAAACAAAAGCCAAAACAAAAAAAACCGAATATGTGTATTCAATTTCGATCTGAATTTAACAGGTATATCAAACAAGAGCCCACCCATAACTACATCCCCCTTACAATAGTAACATGATATCATACTTCGACTGCATATCACTGTTTACTTTTCATATTCGACTGCACAATGCGTGCAGTTGCACAAATTATTACTGCAGAAACTAGGGGCGATCCGACGCCTGAAACGAGAGCCGTTTCGACGCGGGAAGTGCGGTTCGTTTTCTTCGACGTCTCGCGCTTTCCCGACGAAAAGAGAGATCGCAAAAAATTGGGGGCAACGCGATATTTGCGGCGGTTTGATGCTTGGCCAACTGTAACACTCACCGTTTGTAACAATGACGCCATGTCAAATCATCATCATGGGAGAAATACAATGTAGCCCCATTCGGACACCCTGTATCTCTCCACTGCATGCACGAGCATAATGAGAAGCCATAATAGATTGTGTTTAGTCGCCGGTAAAATATTAAAAATTAAAAAAAAAAAGGAAGAATCTCATAATGCACTCAAATGGTTGCGAGTTACAAGTGTTCATGCCTGAATTGCGGGGATCGAATTACGAATTCTTCGACGACTTTGTTTTGTATAATTGAAATTATATACGTTAACGGTCGTTAATTAACGGAGCAGAATTAACGCACTTTTTACGGTCGATATCGGTTTTGAGACGACCCTTGAACGGAAATTAAATCGCTTTCCTCAACCTTGCCCGTATTGGTTAAGGGAAAATTTAATTTACTATAAGCAGCAGATAGATACGTCAAAGAGGTTGAATGGAATGAAGAACGGATTCCTATTTTAAAATATTGTGCCAAAAACAGATTTTGCACTATACATTTGACATTAGCATAACTCTGCATATTACCTCCAATAATCATAACTTAACCGAAATTTTCCAATTACGATTGTCCATTACACTCTTAAGTTAGCTACCATAGTTCAGTCCATGGCCTTACTGATAGACCCCTATTTAGTTATTACCTTAGTTTTATGACACCCTACGCTCCTTCTAACACAATTGCATCAACACATTTAGTTGAATTTGTGAACCAATTTCCAACTACATAAGTATTTCAAATTGTTATCATCTCTTTCTCTCTCATGTGTTGACATGTGATAGAGATTCGCGAACTAACTCCTTTGGAATTGGTTCCCAAACTCACCTTTCGTGAATTCAACTGCATTCTTCCATAAATGAGTCGTGTATTTGACTTGACATCATCCAATTTAGCCCCGGTTTTGTTTTAGCACTTTTTTCAGGGGGTCAGAACCTTGCACGATGTTGCCAATTTGGAATTAAATTCGGTTCCTAGTTGCGAGAACGAAACGTCGCTGCTCAAAAATTTTAATTTCGCGTCCTAATCGCAGTAGAGTAAATAGTTCCGAGTGATTTTTAGCAAAATTTAGAAAAAAATCGTGTTTAGGAAAGCCGCGAGAATCTTATTGAAATTTGAATCAGATTCGATTTTTTGGGACAGTAAGTAGTCGCGATCAGTTTTTTTGTTTGGAACGTAAAATATAATAACGCGAGTTCCGGTAAAAATTGTGAAGTAAAATCCATTCTAAAGTCAGCTTTACCTATGCAGCAAAAATACGAGTGATCGCGGAAAATTAAGAGGACAGAAGTTGGGAGCGCCCATGGAAAGTGAAGTGTACTCGTTGAATGCGACCTTTGTCCTCAAATAGAGTAATTATTTTAGTAAATTGTCCTTCTTGAGATCGAATTAATACCATTTTCTTCAAAAACTTTTCTATTTAACCACTGGTGCGCCACAGGGATCAGTGGCAGGTAGCGTATTGTGGTACCTTGAAAATCACAAGCACTGTGATATGATTTATAAATTTTTTAGTAACATTTACAATAAATCCGTTTAAATTATTAATTACTTACATAATAACAATTCAAGTAAAACAATTTCTATACACCTGTGGCGCCTACATACGATGAAATGTGCTTGTAATATGAAACAGTTAAAAAACACAAAAAACGACATGTGGTGTGTGATTGGTTGTACCTGAATCATGAAAATCTACAGATGAAAAAATAAAATCTTTGCGTGGATTGGTGCCTAAATGCACAGAAAATTCCTTTCGCTTGAAGGTTATAGTCACACAATGTAGATCTTAACCCTTAATAGACCTGGATCTATAAAAATAGTTAATTAACTTCCGAAATCCGGCATTTAACTCGAACTGGGAAAGCGGCCGCCTTAATTCCACGCACTCGTCTTATAGAGATATCAAAAGGCTTCATATACTTCTAATTGCCTACGTTCCGTCCGTGGCGGCATTAATACCACCTGTAAAACTGTCACAGAAGACACTTATCCGTAAATATTAACAGCAAAGCGGCGAAACGTCTTCGGTCGAAAAAGCAACACGTACTATAAGAAACGCGAGCATTTAATTTAACCCCCTCATTGCTCTCATGTCAGTTGCAGATGATATCAGAAATAAAATTACTCTTTAATATACTGCACTGGAAATGTTAAATATAGATCGTGCTAACTAGATGACTTTCCGAATCCCTTTCCTACGGTTAATTGCTTTCAAGCACGATCGTTTTCTCTAAGGCAACAACAAAAAACACTCGCACATTTTGTTGAGCATTTGAGTAGATATGTCGAAACGGCCCTCTCGCTTCAGAACAATCAATAAATCGGTAAAAGCTGTCGCTGACCGCGCGCCGCAATAAAATCGAGGGGGAAAAATTAAAATTAAATTCTGCACTTACCGCCCAAATGTCCGTTTTCGTAAGGTGGGTAGTCGCCGTTGTCCATGCGGTGTTTTTTTAACTGCTGATACTGATGCGATGCGGCTAAACTAAGTCCTACCGGTGCTCGTTTTGGAGGACGTCCGGGCCTGGAACTGCAAAATAGTAGAAAGCTACTGAAGTTTTAACACTGGGTCATGTTTTAGTTGGGGGGGTAGGTGGTTAATTTCGCTACTCTCACAGTTATGACCATCATTTTTAAGCACCATTTAAATTTTTAAAGTAGGTAACTACACTTCGACGGTACAAAAAAGAAGTTTAATATAAAAGTTGTTGGGGCTAAGCACCAGTTTTCAAATTTAGTACTATATATCATTTATATAGGATGTCCCACACAGCAACTTGGAAATTCTAAATGGGACACCCTGTATTTTATTCGATTTTTGTAGATTATACGTTCAATTCTAAGACAAATTTATAGAATATTTTTTTACCGTTTTCGAGATAACGGCTGTTGAATTTGGAAAGAATCCAAATTTGGGGCTTTGTACCTATCTTGATAACTAGACCAAATCTTCAATCTGTGTAGAAAGACGTGAAAAGCGTATTTTATTAATAACTATAAAAATCTAGTTGGCCATGAAAAACAAATATGTTATTACTGTCAAACGTCACATTATGCTTAATTTCCCCCCCCCCACACACACACACCCCTCGGTTCCACATTCTACCTCGAAATATTTTGTGCTATTGGCACTTGTATCATACTTTTTAGGAAAAGGTCATCGAATGTAACAGCAGAAAGCCCATGGGGAAGGGATGAAAAGCTATCAGAGAATCCTTAGGGCTGAATGTTTTATGGGAGAATGGGCCACTGGCCATACCCCCCAGCGTTTCCCTCTAGCGCACGAAAATCTTGTGGTAATTGTAGGAAAAGGAACATCGAATCTTTCTTTTTCCTGGGGGTATTCCATACCCCCCAGACCCCCCGGTTCCGCATTCTGCCTCACACTGTTTAGTGCTTTTAGCACTTGTATCTTGTTAGGAAAGGGTCATCGAACGTAACAGCAGAAAGTCTGTGGGAAAGGGATGAAAAACTCTCAGGGGACTCCTTAGGGCTGAACGTTGTAAGAGAGGCTACTGGCGAGTCTGGAATACTCCCTCCCCCCAGTCAGTTCTTCTAACGCATGAAAATGATCGTAATTGTAGGAAAAGGAACATCGAATCTTTTTTTTTGGGGGGTGTTCCATACCCCCAGACCCCCCCGTTCCACATTCTACCTCCAAACATTTAATGCTTGTGGCACTTGTATCATACTTTTTAGATAAGGGTCATAGAACGTAACGCCAGAAAGTCCGTAGGGAAGGGATGAAAAACTATCAGGGAGTATTTAGGGCTGAATGTTTTAGGAAATAATGGGCCACTAGAGGGCCTGGGGCCATTTCCCATTGCGCATGGACATCTTATGGTAATTGTAGGAAAAAGAACATCCAATTTTTGATTTTCCTGAAGAGTATTCTATACTCCCCAAGCCCCTCGGTTCCACATTCCAGATTCGAGCTTCAATAAAACCAGTGTATTTTTTTAGCTTGGCTCGGATAGCAAAATAGAATATCCTAGGAGAAAGCGATGGAATCCGTGCCTTAAAGTCAAAGGCAAAAGTAGAAATAAGAGACCTCTATTGCTGTACTACCGAGGAAGAAGTACTGTTAACCTTGAAGAAGACGATATGGGTGAAGTCAAAGTCTTCCTCAAGAAACTCAACGCGAAAGAGCAGTAGTCTTGGCGATAGTAGAGCTAGAGAACGCAGCCGGGAGGTTACTCTGTACTTAAGATAAGCAAGGTAGAGGTCGGCTGGGTCCAGAGTAGGATTCGAGAACGCATGACGGTGGTGCAGAGCTTCCCATGTCTGTGGTTTGGATACTGCCAGGCTAACTGCAAAAGCATCTGCTTCAGGTGTGGGGAGAAGGGCCACCATCGGAGTACGTGCGTCACGACCATAGATGCGTCCCGTGCGCCGAAAAGAAGCTCTAGCTAGTACTTGGTAGACGTTCTGGGTTCGGGAGCGTATCAAACAGTTAGGGAGGCGCTGGAACAGCCGAAAAAGGGCACCAAGACGTGATGGAAGGCATTCGAGGAACGGCAAACGGCCAAAGAAGAGGAAGCGGATGTTCTCCTACTTTCTGAACGGGATCGCGGGGAAGAATCGGCACAGTGGTATCAGGACTACAGCTGCAGGGCGGCTATTATGTCACTAAATCCTTGCGAGACCCAAGTAATTATCGCTGGAGATTTCAATGAGAAATCTCCGCTGTGGGGAGAATGGCGACATGAGTGTAGAGTGTAGAGGACAGCTCGTCGGCGAGATGATAGCTCGACTTGATCTCGTCGTGCTCAACGTGGAAAACCGTCCTACCTTCATAGAGGCGGTATCCCTGAGGGCCGACAGCCGACGATGGAATACGCAGAAAGGTAAAGAGCTGGAACCCTAAAACAATTCTATGGCATTCCAGGAGGCACTAGGTGAAACTGCTTGATGTACTCAACAGGAACGGTCACATCGATACTCCGGAAGACCTAGTCAGAAGGATCAAGAAGGATATTTCTCGTGGTCCGTGACCATTGCATGCCGAGAGGAAGGTCAGGCTCGAGCGCTGCGAGAGCCAAGTACCTACTGGTGGACGAAAGAGCAAGCAAATAAAGAGCCGCCGACCCATCCCACGCTTAATCGAAGAGGGATGGGTGCATATTGTGGGGGCATATTTCCGACAGATCAAGAGTTGGTACTGGTGCAGCAAGGTAGCGCCGAGCTGGCAGAGGAAGAGGTCTTTACCTTGGTGGAATTGACGCAAGAAGGCCAGAGATGGGTGAAAAGTAGATGGATGAAGATGGCTGTCAATAAAACTGAAACTGTCCTGGTCACGAAAAGAAGAACCTACAGGACGCTAAGACTCGTCATCGACAGGGTGCGAAAAGAATGGAGAAGGAACGACTTATCCCGAATATAAGCGGGCCGAAAGCAAGCAAGAGGAAGATCTACGCTTCTGTAATGAACGCGACGCTATTTATATGCGGCAGCAGCGTGGGTCAGCGCTAAGCTGAAGAAGACACACTGCGAAAAACTGACCTCGGCGCAAAGACAGCGGGTCGTACTAGTGACAGCTGCATATCGCTCAGTGTCCACAAGTGCTGGCCGGTATTCTACCAGCATTTTTTTGGTGCAAAAAAAGGCTACGGACTGGCGGAGACTCTGAAACCGATCTCAAAAAGGAAGCCACAAAAATGGCCAACCAGGTAGGACGAAGATGTCAAGGGACCATGGACACACAGGTTTGTCCCTGACCTGAACCGGTGGATGAGCAGGCCATATGGCAAGAGGAGAGGAGGAAAGACGAAAGTAAGTGAAGACCTATAGGAGGAAGCCCAGAGGGGACAGAAGAGCTGTTAATTTTCTAAAAGATGCATGCATTTATGCAATCTTTCAGCACATGCCTTTACACTCCCAAATCCTGGTCATAATTTTGTTCTTTAGAAAGTGCAAATAGACAGCATATAGGTAGGAAAATTTAGATCCAGTTGCAATGGTGTTTGAGGTATAGGTACTTACTTCTTACTGGCACACACTTCTTTTATGTCTGAGAAATGGGTAATAATAAGTAAATTTAGTTAAAGGGCTGTTGAAGTATTTGGTTTACAGTAGATGTTAAGGCTGGTTTTTGATTGATTTTTGATGGTTTGGCGCCTAGGTCGGTTTTATTTGGCTTCGTGACTTGCCTTTCGATGGAGAGGTTGAGGGAAGCGACAATGTCTTAATTTTACTGTACACCTTTAGTTAAAAATCATTAAGATGGCCATTAAAGTTTATTCAGTCCAATGCGAGTGGAAAAAATGCAAGCGCAGCTTAAAAAACAAATTAAATCTCGCAATTTAATCGAAAACGGCATTAAAAAGAGTACTGCAGTCGAGTTATCTGGGACCATGTCGATAATTGAGTCGTATACGTTGTAGCATCCATCAGAACATAATATTGCCTTTCTTGTTTATTCGTAGAAGATCTACAAACATCGGCAAACACAAGATTGCCAATCAGTCATGTATACGTCTGTCGGTTTATAACTCTATTTATCGACATATAGACTCATCCATTACGTAGTGTCCGGTCGCAAATATCAGATATCATATACGGTCACTCGACAAATCGACTACGCTTTTGATTTATTACTTTCATTTCCCGAAATCTAACCCCCCCTCGGCCCGACTTTTTTTCCGCACGGCCGTAAATCAACTTCGATTTTCGCAATTAACGAGAACGCTCTTGCATCCTTTAGGCGCGGGGTTGTAATTACCCCCTCCTCCGATTCTTCGCGCGGCTTGTATGATTATGCGAGGAGAAGGAAAGATAAAAATCGATGAGACCTACTGCCCTCAATCATCAACCCTCTCTAATATTTTTGTCTATCGCCCAAGCGGCGTTGGAGAGGGCGAAGGGAAAAATCGATGCCTCCCATATAACGTGCGCGTACCAAATAATTTCCTAAGTATTCGTATTACATCAAACTCAAATTTATTACATGTTCAAAAAGAACGAAACGAAATGCCTTTCATGTGATTAAATAATCGAATCCGGGGAGAGATTACCGTTCTTTGCATCACGAAAGGTAATATATCCCCTTAAAAGGTAGTCATCATCCAGGTATTCCCTCAGGACAATGTAAAAGATTCATAATCCCAGATTAAGCAAGAAAAAAGCTATTTCGTTTGACTAAACGCTCCTTTTGTTTCAAAATTACAATTGCCCCGTCGAGACATTACAGTCTGTGATACGAAGTTAAGTTTGTTACTTTTAAAATCTTTTCCTCCCGTCGTTTTAGTCCTTTTTAAGCGACTCCTTATATACACTTTAAATCGCTCTTATCTTTTATTGCTCCCCTGTACGTTATTTTTCCCACAGAATATTACAATTTTTTCGACTATTTAATCAGTTCGCGTCGTCGGTGATCGATTTTACGGCGTTGCGTTAATGCGTATCTAAGGCCTCCGAAATATTGTCGGGGTAATAAAAAAAAGTAAGGCCGTAAAACACGGAATCGCCCTCGCGATTAATACAGTAAGCCGTTAAAAGAAGTTATTCTTTTATCAACGTCGCTGCAGTTCCGCCGATATCTTAAACGTTTACTAATCTTTCACCTAGAAACATTGTCTAAAACGGTGCAATATGCTTATACGGGAAATGTTATTTATGGCAATTTGATGCGGCTGAAGCTGGCAGCAAATCAATTATTTACATTTCATTTAAATACACGTTACGATTCCCCCAGTAGTTTCCCATATTTCGGTAGCTCTCCTGCAACTGAATCTGTGCTCGATTATCGTTTCGTCAAATATATTTTTCGATTTCTTCTCGTGCATTGCGCTGAAAATGAAACAGGGTGCACTCGACGCCAATTTGGATAAGAATTATCTCAATGTACAGAATCACAGTAGCAAAGTAATCGAGAGAATTTGGTATCCCAAACCCAAAATAGTCTCAAAATACACACAACACATAAGAAATCCGTGTAATTTCTTTTTTCTGAAATTACTACTTTTTCGTCTCTAAAACGGGTGAAGAAAATGTGATTTTCCTCTCTAGTGAGGAAAGTAAAAAACAATTGCTACGTTAATCTTAATCATGACATTTAAAATTGAAACATAGCTGAATCTAGATTGCTATGTGTCAAACTTCATTATTGCATAAGATAATTTTTCAATTTTGATTGTAGTTTCAGAAAAAATTATGTGTAAAACTTGAGAAGAAACTGTTTTTCAACTCTCTTTGAACTCGAGTTGAAAAACTCCACTTTCTTCTCTAGTTGTACAAATAACTATTTTTTGGAAGTGACGTACAGGGGAAGCAGGAAAGTATGTAGTACCAAATTTTGAGTGCACAATTGAGCTTCCTCATCATTTTCTCAACCGAAGATATTGCTTCTTTACTACTTTTTTATTTACCTGCGGATTAATACCGATAAATTTTCTTTCAGATATGGCGATTGGTGGGTCCGTTGCATCTAATCGGTAAGTACTTTTAGTTTTTTCTTTTGCTGTATTATTGTATATGTTTTTACATGATCTTAGCAATAATTATCTGGTTTTATTGTTATTGACTACTCAGATGTCGCTAGCACAGATACCACCCGTTCACTTACGCATGCGCGTTCTACCCAAAAGTGTTTCAGCCCTTTCTTTTATGCCTAAGAATATGTGTACCAAATTTGGTTCCAATCGGTTAAGCCGTTTAACCGGAAATGAGAGTATAGACGGACCGACAGACAGACCGACATCATCATTTTGTTTGATTCGGATTCTCGGTGCTTCAAAACGTAAAAAAAAGTGTGGGGGGGGAGGTCATTTTTTACCCCAATGCAATACCTCCCTTATTAACCTGCGGGTGGTAAAAATCTGTGTGTAATCAATAATAATTCTCTAACTATGTTCCCATACACTCCCGGGAGTGGGGTTGACATACACTAAATTATCTGGTTATTTCGCCGTTTTCGTATTGTTTATAACGTTTTACCACCTAAAATATTTAACCTCTTTTTAATGAATTAATGTCGAGTGCATTACTTATACACAAGAGGTGCCACGAATTAGTAGTGGCTCTCTAATTCTAACGATCGCATGTGTAGCTATCATTTTCTTCTTTGCGCTTTAATTACAACGTCGCCATGATATATAAAACCTATTTTTCTAGCTAATTTTTGACGTGAAAAAAGGGTGTTAAATTGACAGTATGGGTTATTAAGCCTCTCTTTGCCAGTAAGAGTAGATAAAGTGATCACTTTAACTCATCTGTCATTCTCATAAAAAATGGGACGCGAAACACGAAATAAAATGAAGTTTAGAACATAAAACAATATTGTTTCTATGGCAACGTCGGTAGAACCTAAGCGTGCCATTTTTTATGTCTACATTAAATTCAGAATTTTTCTGATGTTCCGAAGTTGTAAAAGCAGCAAAAACAGAATTTGCTTCCAATGAATTCAACCGTTTAGCCGGAAGAATATGTGTACCAAATGTGGTTTTTCGGCCGTTCAGTTGGGAATGAGAGTACAGACAGACCGACATCATCGTGATTTTGTTTAATTCGGATTCCTGGTGCTTCAAAACGTGTATCTCCGTCAAAAAAGTAGGGGATCGTATTTTATCCCAATGCAATACCTCCCTTACTGACGTGCGGGCGAGTGTCAAAAAATACAATAAAATTTGCAAACTGAAACTAATCCAAGGGAATTGCTCACCTTTTGGGCAATATCTAGAAATAGATTTTGATCTTATTTAAAACCTAACAATTTATTCCGTTGTTAAAATTTAAATGGGGTTCCCAAAACAGATCAGAACTCCCTGAACTATTTTCCTAATCCCAAACTTAGCGGACGACCTTTACGCTATGGCGACTGTCGCGCGTCTTCTCTCTCCCCTTTTTCTTGCCTATATTGGCGTGGGAACTTGAAAACGGAAACACCACAAACTTACGACGCGCATCGATTGTCTACTAGCCACAAGCCCTCATTCCTATGTATTTTAGTTGCCGGAACCAACGCAATGTTGACGAATCGCCCACTCCCCAAAGCAGTAAAGATGACCTACTTATATGGGATTAAGTGAGTGCAAAAGTTTGGGGGAGATTTAAGGTCTCTAAGTGATTTTTTGGGTCCTCAAACAGTGCTATCGACAAAAAATTTCATCAATTTTTAAATTTTATAAGAAATTGGAGACAGTTTAACGCGAAAAATCAATCGTGCCACATTGATCGCGATTATATTATCCCAAAAAAAACAAAAATAATCCTCAGAAATTCAAAAAATTGCCAATTCGTACGGTTCAATTTTCTTACTACACTAAAACTGAAATCGAGAAATTGTCTTTGTTTAGATCTCATCCAACAAGGAACATATTAATCATTTTTTTTAAGAATTCAATTTTATTTAAACAAATTAAAAATTTCTAAAGATTAAAAATTCATAAGTAACAAATTTTTTCCTAGGGATTTTATTAAATTTTTTAATACATTTAAAAATCGAAAAATGTCATTTTCAAAAATGAGCTGGCGTTCTTTTATTTTCAAAAATGTCTAATGGTGCTAAAATAAAATTTTATCACTTGTGAGTTCCGAGTAAATCACATCAACTTTCTTATTTTTAATGGACGCCATATTGGATTTTTATGTCATTTGATACCTAGAGGAAATAAATTATCAAAACCAGTGCCATAAGAAATTGCAAAATTCGATGCAAAAATGCAAGGTTGATTCCCAAATGAAATATTAAGTGTTTAGTATCGATATTTGCTAATTTTCTTCACTATCGAATGGCATAAAAATTCAATATGGCGTCCATAAGAAATTGATGTGATTTATTCGAAACTCACAAGTGATGAAAATTTTGTTTTGGCACTATCAGAAAGCTGACAAAAAATCACTAAGGGTTTGTTAAAACTACCTTTGAAAATTAATGAACGCCAGCGCATTTTTGAAAATGACCTTTTTCGTTTTATTTACCATAACTTCGTTAATTGTATAGTTAGAAGGAACTCTGAAATGGAAACTTAATCTACATAAAATTCTGAGCGACTTTGTATCTTTTTCGGTTACGGTTAAATCCCTGCGCATGTCCAATAGACAGCTTTCTTATTTGGGGAGCCAATTTGATAAAAAATGTTCTGGGAGGCTGCTCTAATAAAAGAAAAAAAAATCGTATTGCCACGAATATTGATTACAACCCAAAACCGAAGACTCACTCGTAAAATACTACATTTTTGGCGGCATTTATGCGAAATGCGCTCATTCTTAAGGCATTTTTACCAACCTGTACGATGAGATTTCAATATATTGGTGCTTTTTTGAGCCGAATAAAATTCTTTTCGCTTTTTTTTGCCTCTTACATTAACCCAACAACCCTTAAAACATCAACAGCTCTAGCTACACAAAAATAATTGACAAACGATAAAAACGATAATAAACGGCGATTGTTAATAAAAGTTCGGTGATTCGAGATCAAGGATGCTATATAATATAGACTTCTCAATCAAAAGTTATGGACTAGAAACCAATTTCGAAAGAAAATTCAAAGGGCTGTAACTTTTGATCTAGTAGCCCAATCTGGGAACTGTTTGAAATTATGGATTCTACAGGCCACGCTCTATAAGAAAAATTTTTTTTCCGGGTCTATCTGAGACAATTTTTTTTGAGGACCGAAAAAAAAGGCAGTGTATAACCTTCCTTTTTTACCAAAAATTGACTGCACCAAAATTTCTCGGGAAAACACTTTTTTTATTAATTTTGGTACGTAGAATCCAAAACAATTCGTACTTTTTCGATCAGACTTCTCAATCAAAAGTTATAGAGCTATGCTAAAATTATAACATTTTAGCATAGCCTGAGGATGGCCAGTGGCCGAAATCGATCGCTACAGAAATAAAAGCAAATACGTCAAAATAATTTCCATGCAAGACAGTTAAGTTATTTAAAATTTGTTGTTCTTTATCAAGTACAGCAAAACATTTAAATTTTTTGTACTGCATTTTGTTGATTTCTATTACCATGGTTGCGACTTACTCCAGGATCAAGAAACATTTTGCTCCAATCGGATAAATTAAGCTTTAGTGTTATAAAAAATTTTATACAGGGTGTTTTATAGTTTAAAATAAAGGTCTCTTCCCATTAAAACCTCGCTCGGAATTAAACTGGACATCGTCCTTTTACGTGCCTATAAAACACCTAGCTATTAAGGATCTATAAAGGTTCTTCAAGAGACGTCTCTTAAACAGCGTAATAAACGCTCTTAGGGGACTTAACGACTCAGCTATTAACTAGGTGCTTTATAGGTACTTTAAAGGACGATGCCAATTTTTTTAACGGAGAGAGTCCTTTCAACTATAAAACAACGTGCTATCTTCACGATTTTTTTATAGCACTAAAGCATATTTTATCCGAATTCGTCTTTTATTAATTATGATCATGAAGGAAAAAGGCTGGCGTAGGTAGTAACCAAGGTAATAGAATCAACAACATTAGGTACCAAAAATTAAGCAGCGTACTTTACGTAGGGTATAAAGGATGTTACCATTGACGAAGTACTTTATAAGACACAATGAATTTTATAGATAACTTAACAAACGAGTTTAAGGGTCAATTGCACCGTCAAAATTAAGTATCCCTTAAAGTTAAACATAACTTAAATACCAGCAACAATTGTCTTAATAATCGTTGCCATAGATTTTAAGTTCGACTTAACTTTAAGCAAGGCTTAAATTTGTTGGTGCAACTGGGACTAAATGAATTTAATTTGCCAGTGTTATAAAAAATCAATTAAAGGCTTTCAAAGCCTCTACAAGATCTATAAAAGGCTCTTATTAGACGCACTGACATTTATACACAGTTAGAGGTTCTAAAGACCACTAAACTGTTGGAGTAGGTAATCATTGGTTAATTCGTCAAGGGCTGAAAATTGACCAATTGATATACGGCACAAAAAAAAACAAAAGTTGGCAACTCTGTCTTCAACATTTTTTCTGGCATATCTTCGGAAGTAATCGGATTTTTCCGGTTTTTCTTAACAGCATGATATGGGCAACTTTTCCCTAATTTGCCCATCGTCCCATCTTCTATGGTTTTTGGGATCTCCACGATAGATATTCTGATCTTGGACACAATGTATACGGTGCTATAGGGGAGTATAACCCTTTCGACAAATCTTAGGAACAGAAATGAAAATTTGAATATAAGCTTTTTATGGGGGATTTATTATCCATGTCTGATAAATTTTGTATACAAAATCGTGCCTTTTCGTAAAAAGTAAAAATTTTTTTATGAAAGTAATTAGGTCAAGACTCTTATTAAGATTTTTAGTTAGGCATCTATTGCGTATATTAACTAGTTAATTTATTTTATCTTTGTGACCAAATACCAAAAAGAAATATTAGTGATTTCTTTAAATATACTTTTCATTTGCATTTTCCACTGTGGCCCCTGGCCCATATGAAAAATTTTGTTTTGGCCCCATGTCTGCTATAAG